TCTATGACTGTGACACGCATACAAGTGTGCAGATGCTGGTGCTGCCTTTGATCTGGCTCCAGGGGCTCTGGCAGAGCTTGCAAACTGTGTTTTGAATCAGTTTGGGTTCACATTACATTATTTCTGGCTTGGTTGACAGAATTTTGTCCAGATTCAACGCTGTCGTCTCGCATCAGACAGAACATACTGTCCTGCTTCGCTTTGCATCTGCAGGGAGAAGCAAAGTCGTTGCCATGTCCCCATTTCCTTTGCCACCAGCCTGCAGGGTGGTTGCAACCATCCTTTCCGTGTCCTTGAGGTGAGGGGCATAAAACATGCCTCTGCTTGGATGGAAAGAGCATTTGTGACAAGTTTGAGGTGGTGATGTTGTGAGGGGAATGAAAAGGAAGTGGGTTTTGAGGTAGAATTGATGGTTGGACTCAATTATGGTAAAGGTTATTTCCAGTTTAAATGATTCTGTGAGTTTGTGATTCTGTGAAATGGGGGAAAAGTGCTTCTCAGCCATTGCCGAGGGGAGCCTGGGGCAGGGCTGGAAACTAGTTCCCAGTTTAATTCTTTCTTTCCAGCATTTTCCTCTCTTGAATTTGACTATTTCAATTTTTACCATTTGAATAGAATCACAGAATCAGAGTCACAGAATATCCTGAGTTGGAAGAAATCCCCAAGGATCATCCAGTCCAACTCCAGCCCCTGCACAGGACAACCCCAACAATCCCAACATGTGCATGGGAGCACTGTCCAAACGCTCCTTGAGCTCTGTCAGGCTTGAGGCTGTGACCACTGCCCTGGAGAGATGTTCCAGTGCCCAAACACCCTCTGGGGGAAGAACCTTTCCCTAATATCTAACTTGAACCTCCCCTTGACACAGCTCCAGCTGTTCCATCAGGTCCTGTCACTGGTCACAAATGAAATGTTTGGAAGGCTGAATCTTCTTAAGCAGCTTTGCACACTCAGCACATGGCCAGGGTGAAGGATGCCAGGAAGATTTCTCTGCCCCGTGTGGCTAAATAGAAACTCAATTCCCAGATGCAGTGTCCAATACAGAAGGATCTAAGCACATCTCCACCTCTGGGCTTGGAAAGTTCATATAGGTATAGAAACCCAGTTTTTGTGGTTTTTTAGTACCTTTCTTTTGGCCTCACATTCAAACCATTCTCATTTCTTCATTTGTGTCAATCTGTAGCTGAACCTTCCCTGCCCTAGCACAAGGTGCTGTTGGTACCCCAAGAAGCTGCAGTTCCATGTCTGCAGCTTCCCGAGCTTATTCCACTTTCACATCCTCTTGCTAAAAGCTTCTCTTGATTTTTCCCCTCCTCTTCTCCTCCTTTCCCCCCAGTGGATGTGCTGTCGAGTTTGATTTATAGCCTTGAAAGGGAGACTCCAGTTTGAAGAATTAATGGTATTTGCATATTTGATTTGGAAACTCCCCCGGCAGAGCCGCCACAGCCAACGGGTTTTTCCTTTCCCTTTTTTTTTCTGGGCTCTCAGATTTAGCAGCAGAGGTGAAAAGTTTAAACAGTAAAACCAATAAAACCACATTTATGTGACAGATAAATCGTTCCGAGACAGCCTGCCCTGAACCGTCAGGCTTCCTCCTGCAGGACCTCTCTGCTCTGGAGCCCTGAGAGTGCCGGCAGTGCCCTGTGCCGCGCAGCAGTCGGGGCAAAGGTGTTGGCCCCGACTGTCCTCGGCTCTGCTGAGCCAAAAAGATGGATGTGGGCAAACAGTTGTAAAGTACACAGGTCGTCTATCACTGTCAGGAGGCAGCTGGGGGGAGTCTGGGTCTGCTGGTGCTCAGGGAAGGTGCAGCACGAGGTGGGAGCATTGGGAATCATGGAATTGCTTGGGTTGCAAAGACCTCCAAGATCACTAAGTCCAAGTGTTCCCTCAGCACTGCAAAGGCCACCACTAAACCATGTCCCCAAGGGCCACATCCACACAGCTTTCAAAGCCCTCCAGGAATGGTGACTCCACCACTGCACTGGGCAGTCTGTGCCAGTGCCTGACTACCCTTTCCATGAAGAAATATTCCCTAAAATCCAATTAAAACCTCCCCTGGCACAGATTGAGACTATGTCCTCTTGTCCTGTCACTCATTCCCTGGGAGCAGAGCCAAACCCCCACCTGGCTCCAACCTCCTGTCAGGGAGTTGTAGAGTGAGAAGGTCCCCTCTGAGACTCCTTTTCTCCAGGCTGAGCCCCCACACCTTCCTCAGCTGCTCCTTGTGCTCCATACCCTTCCCCAGCTCCGTTCCCTTCTCTGGACACTCTCTAGTCCCTCAATGTCTTTCTTGTTGTGAGGGGCCCAAAACTGCCCCCGGGACTGGAGGTGCCTCAGCAGAGCCAGCACAGGGGACAGTCACTGCCCTGGTCCTGCTGCCACACCATGGCTGGTACAAGCAGGTGCCCTTGGCCTTCTTGCCTACCTGGGCACATGTTCAGCCACTGTCCCCTCCATGATGTTGTCT